GTATTTCTGTTTTTTCTTTTTACATATTTTGTTAAAAGGCCAAATAAGGACTTCAAACCAAAAAAAGTAATGTTCTGTTTTGTTTTGTTCTTGGATCAGGCTTTAAAGGGTTAATGTAGACTTACATGTAAAATCTTTCATTTTGGTTCCGAAAGGTTCACCATGACAATGCCATTTCTCAACCAGCAGAGGGCAGTCTAACCTCACCCTGCTCTACTGACCCTCTATATCTTCACTTAGAATCAAAGGACGTGCTTTTGATAGTCATCAATAGACTAATCGATCTGAAGCAGAATAGGTAAATTGTAGTATTTTAATTACACATATGAGGAGAAACAACACAGGCCAGCAAACATCGAGTAAATGGCTCAGCATACGCTCTGAAGAAATCTAAATGATAAACAAACAGACAAAAAACACTTATTGTTTAAATCATATTATTATATAGCAAGTTTGGTAGTTTTATAATAGCATTCATCCTTCTGTGCTACTGGCTCCAGGAAGCCTTCCACATGTTACAAGCAGATCACAGGGCGAAGGCAGATCTGGCATGACAGCCTCCCGGAAATGCCTTTTCAAAACAAAAGTTTTGAAAACGCTTTGGTTATCCTTGCAGTTTTAGCACAAAGAATTAAAATACCCTTTACTTGTTACTGTTTTATTTGTAAAGGTAATTTTTTTCATGAATGAATTTTAAATCTTAATTTATCTTGTGTGATTCTCAGTAGCCATCAATGCTTGGCAGAGACCAACATGTGAAGGAAGATGATGCTCTGATAAGATGAGGCCAAATTGAAAACTGTTGTGGTTCTGAACAGTATTTTCTTGTGTAACAAAAAGCAAACACTTTATTCTGAGAACATGGTGGTGATAACAAATAGGGATTTTTTTGTCTTTGGGAGGGAAAGAGACGAGTGCCTTGAGCCAAATATGAGATAATTATTTAGGGAAAACTAGTGACAAAAGATTTAGGTCAGCTCCAATGAAAAGGTTTGGATTATAATATTTATGTGGTAGAATGGCCTAGTAAAAGTCAAAACCTACATCTAAATAATAATAATCATCTTTCCATTATACATGTTATAATATAAGTATTCTAAATATTGATTTTCACACATATATACAGTGTGTATATATATACCGTAAATTCTCTAATAT